ATTTTGGGGGCTGGTCCGGGAATTTCATTAAATTCCCCCCATTTAAAAGGGAATTAAGATGGTTGGTTCGGAAAGGGGCACAGCTTGATATTGATAGCAATTTTTGATACATTTTGATCTTCATGTATGGGGTTTGTATAGCTATTCTATTTGTCATCCAGCTCTCGGTAGTTCATCCTGTCATTGCAAATAAAATGGAGTTTCAAAAATATTTAGAAATGGGCAAGGAACTACACTTAGAAGATAAGGAACTCATAGAGTTTGCTAGAGCTAGACAGGCAGAGGCTAAGGAAGAAAGACGGCTGATTAGGGAAGAAAATCAAGAACAACGTGAACATGAGAAAGAAATGAAAACTATAGAGTTAAGTATAGCTCAGGAAAAGGCCAAGTTAGGGTTGTCAAGTGAAAGTTTCTTGGAAGCTAGTATGAAAACCCAGGCCAAAAGCCGAATTCCCAAAATGCCACCCTTCAATGAGAAAAGTGATGATATGGATTCGTACTTGGGTAGATTCGAAAGATATGCGACAAGTATGAAATGGTCACGTGATGAATGGGCATTACCTTTAAGCATACTCCTGACAGGAAAAGCAACTGAGGTTTATACACGTTTACCTGATGATCTAGCAAATGACTATGATGAACTAAAACGAGCACTGCTGTTGAGATATGAATTCACTGAGGACGGCTTTAAGACAAAGTTTAGACAGTGCAGACCAGAGACTAACGAATCCTATACACAGTTTGCGGAACGTATTAAACGATATTTGTTAAGGTGGATTGAATTAAGTTGTACAGATAAAACATTTGATGGACTTCTTGATCTTTTTATGCGAGAACAGATAATTAATGGCTGTAGTAGAGAACTAAGATTGTTCCTAAAAGAACGAAAACCTGGTACATTGGCTGAAATGACAAAGATGGCTGACAGATATCAAGAGGCACACAAACCTCCTTTATCTAGGTTCAGTGATCGACAAATAAGGAAAGATGGTCAAAGCAAGTCATTTGAAAGAGGTGTAAAAGGACAGGAAGATGAACGTTCAGTTGGTGAACTAAAGTCTCCTGATGATAGAACATGTTTTAAATGTGGTAAGAAAGGACACATAGCAATATTCTGCAAGAGTAAAGCTAGGTATCAGCCACAGACCAACAAAACCGCAGGTTTAAAAGAATGGAAACCAGAGACACCTCGTAGGGTTGAAGTTGACAAGAAAAATCAAACCCTAGCTGCCTGTGTGGAGTTAAATGCAGTTAGATATGAGTACAGTAGACCCCCAGGTACTTATGTGAGATTGGAATCAGGAGATGAACTCCCAGTTGTTAACGCTGTAAGCAGGTTAGCATCAAGTGATGAGAATATGCCAGTGAAATATGGTAAAATTGGTGATCACATAGTACCAGTGTTGAGAGATACTGGATGTAGTACAGTAGTAGTGAAACGTACTCTAGTTGGGGATAATAAATACACAGGTAGAACTCAAAGATGTGTTCTGTTAGATGGAACCGTGAGAAATGTACCAGTAGCCAAAGTGTCGTTAGATACGCCATATTATGTGGGAGAAGTTGAAGCTATGGTGATGGAGAATCCATTGTATGGTATTATAATTGGTAATGTAAATGGAGCTAAGGGTCCAAACGATCCAGTCGTTGACTGGTCTCCTAAATCAGATGAGACAGTAAGTAAGTCAGTATCACAGGCGAGTGCAGTAGAGACTCGTGGCTCAAAAGCTAAGTTGGCAAAACCACTAACTCCATTGAAAGTAAGTGAGGTGACACATATATCCGAATCTAGGGCAGATTTGATTAAGGCCCAGAAAGAAGATACTACTTTGACTAAATTGTTCGAGTTGGCTAATAAAGGTGAAAGGTCCGTAAATGGTAAAGGAATGGAGACTGGATACGTTGTCAGAAATAATCTCTTGTTTAGAGAATATCAGTCACCACAAGTGCAACATGGTAAAGTTTTTAAACAACTTGTTGTACCAAGAGTTTATCGCGAGAAGGTTTTGAAGTTGGCACACGATTCACCATTGGCAGGACATCTTAAAGTTAAAAAGACCACTGATAGAATATTAGCCAATTTCTTCTGGCCAGCGGTACAAGCTGATGTTAGACGGTATTGCCAGTCATGCGACATATGCCAAAGAACTGTGAGTAAGGGTAGAGTAACCAAAGTTCCTTTAGGTGAAATGCCTTTAATTGATACTCCATTCAAAAGAGTAGCTGTGGACATAGTAGGTCCCATACAACCAATCACTGAGCGAGGAAATAGGTATATCTTAACTTTGGTAGATTATGCCACTCGTTACCCAGAGGCCATTGCACTTCGTAGTATAGAAACAGAGCGAGTAGCAGAAGCACTCTTGGAGATATTTTGTAGAGTCGGGGTTCCAGATGAGATACTGACCGATCGAGGATCACAATTTACCTCATGTGTAATGAAAGAAGTAGGAAGGTTGTTGTCTATTAAGCAATTGGTAACCTCCCCATATCACCCAATTTGTAATGGGCTAGTAGAACGATTCAATGGTACACTCAAGATTATGCTCAAACGTATGTGTTCAGAAAAACCAAATGACTGGGATCGCTATTTGCCAGCAGTGTTATTTGCATACAGGGAAGCGCCACAAGAGAGTTTGGGTTTTTCACCCTTTGAGTTATTATATGGTAGAACTGTAAGAGGTCCTTTAATGATCTTAAAAGAACTGTGGTCAGGTGAAATTGAAGATGAAGAAGTGAAGTCCACTTATGAATATGTAGTAGATCTAAAAGAAAGATTGGAAGAGACTTGTAAACTTGCACATGATGAGCTCAGTCGCTGCTCAAAAAGATACAAGAAATACTATGACACAAAATCGAAAGATCGCAAGTTCAAAGTGGGTGAAAAGGTGTTAATCTTGCGTCCATCCAGTAATAGTAAATTATTACTCCAGTGGCAAGGACCATTCGATGTAACGGCATGTGTGAGAAGTAATGACTATCTAGTAAGAGTTAAAGGAAAGGACAAGATATATCATGCAAATCTCCTCAAGAAGTATGTGGAAAGGCAAAGTTCAGAGAATGTAATTGCAGGTGACGGGAAAAACAGTTCCTATGCAAAACAGTTGTGTGCGAACATTGTGATGGAGGATGATGATCAAGAAGATTGTGTTCGAGTAAATTTGCCTCCTCTAAAACAGACAGAAAAGTGTGAGGATGTTCAAGTAAATGAAAGGCTCCTTGCAAGACAAAAACAAGATGTTGAGGAACTTGTAAGTCAGTTCTCCGACATTATGACAGATATGCCTGGTCGCACACATTTAATGGAACATAATGTGAAACTAACAACGGATTCACCTGTTGTCTCAAAACCCTTTCCAGTACCACCTGCAGTACGAGAGACAATTTCAGATGAAATTGAGAAAATGCTCAATCTAGGAGTGATCGAAAAATCACACTCCGCCTATGCTTCACCAGTTGTCCTAGTACGTAAACCTGATGGCAGTAACAGATTCTGTGTGGATTTTCGCCAGTTGAATGATATTACAGTATTTGATCCAGAACCTATTCCCAATGCTGATGAATTATTGTCAAGGGTAGCCAATGCGAAATATTTCTCCAAACTAGACTTGACAAAAGGTTACTGGCAGATACCTATGGCTCCACAAGATAAAGACAAAACGGCCTTTGTAACTTCTAATGGCCTTTATCAGTTTACTGTCATGCCTTTCGGGATGGTCAATGCTCCTGCAGTATTTTCCAGATTAATGAGACAAGTACTATCAGGACTTATGAATGTAATTAATTATATAGATGACATACTGGTGTACACAGAAACATGGGAAGATCATATGGTAACATTGGAGAAAGTATTCCAAAGGTTGAGAGATGCAGGACTTACAGCTAGACCAACAAAGTGCTACATAGGGTTCGAGAGCTTGAAATTCCTAGGGCATACGATAGGTGAAGGGATTTTGAAGCCACACCCAGAAAAAGTCAGCCAGGTTCTGAAAGCCGAAAAACCAAGAACAAAAAAGCAGGTCAGGTCATTTCTAGGACTAGTGGGATTTTACCGGAAATTCATCCCCAATTTTTCGGCTATTGCGGCTCCGTTGTCCGATTTAACCAAGAAAGGAAATCCAAATAAGATCAATTGGAGTGACGCACAAGAGGTAGCGTTTGAAACGTTGAAAAAGCGAGTAGCGTCAGCACCAATCCTGCATTTGCCAAATTTTGAGCACACTTTCATCCTACAAACTGATGCTTCAGATGTAGGCATAGGAGCCGTACTTGTACAAGAAGAAGGGGGTGTTAAATTCCCAATATCATATGCTAGTAGGAAGCTTTTGCCAAGGGAGGTCAAGTATTCGGTCATTGAAAGGGAATGTTTAGCACTTGTATGGGCAATCAAGAAATTCCATTTCTTTCTGTATGGTAAAGAGTTCATTTTGGAAACGGATCATAGACCACTCAGCTACTTGGCAAGAACGAAGATGACAAACAGTAGAATAATGAGATCGGCTTTAAGTTTGCAACCGTACAGATACAGAGTAGTGGCGATTAAAGGTAAAGATAACGTGGGAGCTGATTTCTTAAGTAGATGCCCCAAGATTGAAGATGGAGATTGAAGTTGGTACAATTGAGGAAAAGATTGTCAGTACAATCCTAAGGGGGAGTAACGTCAATAGTCCCAACTACACTTTTTTAATTAAGAAAAGTTGGTGATGAATGCTGAAGTCTATTTTATTTGGGACTTGTAACTCATGCCAGATTCTCCATTATTAAGAATTCAATGTAAGGAATGCATAGCATCTAGGTAAAGTATATATACAGATGTGTAGGCCTATGAGGGCCATCAAACCTTCTTCTTTTTTTCAAGGTGGTATCCCGCCGCGGCAAATTTCTGTCTTATTGATAGTGCACACCCCAGACGATATAATTCGCCGGGGTGAGAAGACGCATTTTGAAATTTAGAAACAAAAATTGAATGTGCACCTCTACACTTCTGTAATCAGGTAAATGAATTTGACAGTAGAGCGTGCGCAATGGAATTATGTTAATTCATTAATACTGGGGCCAGTTGCGCCATTAACCCTAACCCCCTAAGGACCATCGAAATCCTGCCTAACCTTGTTGGGCTCAGCATGGTTAGGCTCAATCCTATCCCCCTAAGGACCATTGAAATCCCGCCTAACCTGGTTGGGTTCAGCATGGTTAGGCTCAATCCTATCCCCCTAAGGACCATTGAAATCCTGCATAACCTGGTTGGGTTCAGCATGGTTAGGGTTGATCAATGTGGGGTTAGGCCATTATTTGTCTTTATGAAGGCCATTGAGTGTGTGTTTCTGCATATAACGTACTTCCTTTTTAGGTACCGGCACGAAGGTCAGTGATGCCACTCGATCAGAGAATCCAGGAACTGACTTTCCACGAAGTTCAACCTGCTGCAGAGACTTCCCAAACAACATATAGCCTCGTATGTTCAATTTGATTTTTTTTCTACATTTTTTCTCCGTTTTCCCCATTCGGTCCTCTCAAAGCGCGCACGCATTGTCCTTTTTAACGCTTAAATGTATGTACAATTTTCCATCATGATGACAGACTAAATTTGGAAATTTTCTGGAAACATTGTTGGGTAGTACATTAAGGCCAGCACACTTAACTAGGATGTTTTCTCAAAGTTGTAAACACAAATCTAAAATGGTCGATTATCTAGCCTTTTTTCCTCCTTTTCGGGATTCATTCCCAAAATTATTCCAGTGGTTGTATATTTTGATGTAAACTCATAAAGACATTCAGTTATATCTGTCCACACAATGATAATGTAACTCATTTTGACACCTTGTTTTATATGCAAACTGTATATTATGATTAATTTAAGACAGAAATAGCAGGTTATTTTCATGCCCGTATGCATCTCTAAAAGGAATGCTTTACAGTATTAAGTTTGGGACACTATGAAATTTTGATTCAAAAGTCGTTACTTGCAAATAAAATTGCCAATAACATGAACAAAACCATAGGCAAAATGCATTTCTACTGTCTGGGACATATAGGGGAGGCTAAATTAACGCCCCCCCCCCCCGATAACAAAGGATGCACATGTACCTGTTGCATTGCTTATTAATTAATTAATTAATTAAGTTTAATTGTTTACGCAGAAGGAATTAACCAAAACAAGCCCGCAGCATCACAAAATGCTACTCACTCGGGAGCAGGAAATCGAAGTGCTGGACGAATTCAGCCTTCTTTGGGCAAAAGAAAAAAGCCTGTCAGGCAAGAAACGGACCATGAAAAATCTTGTAAGTACATACATGGACTGTTTTAGCATTTGTTCCGAACTTGAATTTGGTCCCTTTTTATTTCATCTTGGCAATACCTGACTAGAAACGTTTACGGTGGAATATCTGTACATGGGATTTATTACAGTTATACGAGAAAACAGTACTTACAACAGGTGCGCAAAACAATTTATTCTAGGTACAACATCCGCAGTGATTTGCCTCACCCCACTACCGAATAATCTGTGGTTATGGGTTTGTAAGAGAACTCAAGTGCCAGCGCATTTTTTTTACGCTTTATGAAAGAAAAGGCTAACGGAAAAACAGCTTTTATAGAATTTATGAGACACCAGTCGTCATTATAAGAGAAGGCAAAAACGGTTCTCTACTTTCAACGTGCACCTGTTGAAGAAGATTATACGCAACAGACATTTCTAGGCCATCTTGATGAATGAACAAATAATATATGTATACCAAAACAATTACAAATGATAATTAAGATGTGCGAGGCTTAATTTCGCGTAATGGTTAAATAAGTATTCAAATGAAAGACAAAGTTTGTAATGGTTACTTTGACAACTATATATTCCAGAAACATAGTTCAAAATTTAATTTTGTTTAATTAGAAATCTTTAATTTATGCATACAAATGAAATAAATTTGTGGACTCCTAACCCCTGAACACCAAAAACAAAAGAACAGTCTGGACATTTTATCTGTGACTTGGAAGCCCATGAAAGCACTATATATTTCTATTGGACCACAAAAGAAATTTGAAATCACGAGGGTATCATAGCCAACCCAGTAATAGCGAAAATCCATTAAACAGAGTCTCAGAAAGCATAATGAAAAAAAAATGTTTTCCACGCGATCAGGTCAGTCAACTGTTCGACGAAAAACCAGAGCTGATGCATGGCTTAGAGTTTCAGCAGATTTTTGATACGCTGCGCAGGCTGGTGGCAGATCAGTACCCCGATGCCGACGATTAAAGGTATTTTGTGCCTCTGTTGAATGAAGGCAGGGTCTCAGGTGGAATAACGATTAAAGGGGATCAAAACAGAAAAGGTGCAACTGTTTGTATCCAAGCTGTTTTGAGTCAGTTGCGTCGAAGAAATTGCAAAACGAGAAATTGGATGAAAAGAGTGGCAGATGAAAAAGAAGTAAGAGAACAAACTTGACGAAGTTTACTGCAAGTATTAACCGCGATTAGGAAATGACTATACGTGTCAGAGTCAAAGATGTCTCACCCATAAGTTCACAACAACTGTTATTAATGAATTGATAATCAACTTTGGAAATTCCAGATTTAACTTTTGAAATCCCTGAATTACAAACCAAGCACATACATGTAGCAGCTTCAATCTCCCATACAACTTTAGGTTTAATAACTAATCGTTATACAGTACATCACCGCTTTTGTTCCGTGTTTGCGTTTGGAAATTCTGTTTATGAAACGTACACCACAAGAAGTGAGAGCTTGAAAAGCATCTGTTGCAGACATTCTAGAAAATAACGGCTGCACAGTCCTGAAACGTAAAGTTTTTATATTAACAATTTACTAAGATTGTTCCAAAAAACAGCGATTAACAGTGACATTCCATTTTTATTTCTTCCAGGGAAATAAGATAAATATTTAGCAAAGTTCCCCACACAAAATAAAACTAATCTAGCAGCCGTTTCCATATTGAAACATTCCATATGAATCAATATATGGGGCGGCGAGAACCCCCTCCCCCCGCACCTTTGTGTTGGTCATTATTTGATCAGAATCTCAGGAATTCTTTACACGCATCAAGGGGGTGTTAGGTAACAATAGTCTAGAGTGTGTATAGGGATTGGACATGTGGGGATACCCCTTATGCACGGTATCAAACATTACATATTAATTCACTGGTAATCTACCGGATCTCGATTTCAGGCAAAGTGCATCTTGTTTTGTGTGAAGTCCAGATGCTATCCATGCCTGTGCAGTCCCTGCAGCACCTTCGTAGAGAGGACAGAAAAGGATAGCTTGCAGTTCCACAAGGCTACTGTTTTTAAGAGCCAGTCATTGGTTCACCCAATCTCGCTGACGCCAGAACGTCTTGTAGGCGGGGAAACGCAGGATCTTTTTATTCATTTTGAAATGAAATGGTTTTGAAATGGTTACGTATTTATTGTTATTTTGAAATATTCTACGCGAACTAAATGTTTTCTATTTCTGTAACCCTTTTACTTTCTCTGTTATTAGGCCTAAACAATTTTTAAAAACAAGTTTAACAATCACAATTCGTGTAAAATTTTGCAGATTAATCGTTTAGAAACTTACGTATGATCTTTCCCAGATGAATGATGATGTTCCAAATGCATGTATTTTCCAAACGGAAGAATTTCCTTTGGTGATTGGTGAATTTCAAAGAACAAGCATGTACGTCCAAGGTTGTAAACGTAATCTCCATTGAAGAGACAGTAAGCTGTAGTTCTCAAATCAGTCACTCGAGAAACTTGCTTCTTGGTGGTGTAAAAAGGTCCCCAGCTTCGTACAGTCGTATAGCCTTTCCGCAATTAACCAGCATATAGAAATGCATGTAAATCCATTTGCACCGTGAAACCTGTGTGCCGTGCTATGTGCTGATGGTGTCGACTGCATCTCTGTGTGTGATTTAGTGCAAGCAGTTGTAGGTTAATGGCGCATACGTGGGCCCGATCGTCCAATAGAGTGTTATTAAAATGACAATAGGCGCTTCCTTTACAGCTGGGAGAAGGAAGCTTAATAGACACGGGGACGGCCGAATGATCAGATAAAGAACAGGGAAAGGTTTTACAAGACGAGAGGGAAGACAAAAGAGCAGTGGAAATATAAAAGCGATCCAGCCTGGCTTTTGAAACACCGTTCTGGCTGGAGGGATTAGCTCTATACCAGGTGTACTTTCTTTTAGAGGGGTTATGTCTACGCCAAAAGCCGTACAATGATAATTTGTTAAAGGTATTTTTGAGAGCCACGGAAATTTGGGGGCAATGTTCGGTCGGCGTACCGAGACATCTAGTTTTGATTAAAAGAACCATTAAAATCACCCCAACAATAATGACACCGTCACTGAGGGGGCTACTGTTAAAGGAAAAGTTGTTGATGGCTTTTAAAGCTTTGGTGTCAGATTGAGGAGTTAGAGAATTATACTGGTAGAAAATGACTTCGCCATGCGAAAGCCTAATAAAAGTCAGGTACCATCAAATACAGCAGTAGATTCAAGAACAGTGAAATTGTTTCTTACAAGAGTAGTGACCCCAGGACCACGCGAGTGGCTGGGATTGCGAAAAGGCGGTGTAGTTTAACCAGCAATTCCAAGAGGGATATTGTTCATTTAAATCACCGGTTTCTTGCAGAAAAAAATGACGTGCGGTTTATTGCAAAGTCTATCGGTATATGTAAAAAGAGAAACATTTTTTCACGGAAGAGGAACAGCCCCACGCGTTGAGTGTGAGCAATGACGGTGTCATCACAAATAGAAAATAAAAAAGGACAGAATTCATAATAAAGGTAGGGGAGATTACATATTCAATTTCTTTATTAGTTTGAAGATCTTCTGCTGCAAGTTTTTCTTCAGCAAAGGGCTGTTTTTCAGAGGCCTCAGTTGCGTAACCACTCCTGGAATATCGGTCGTGAACTTGCAATCAGTTCAGGTTTTTTGGTGGACTTGAATTTTTTCAAGAACGTGAGCAGTTCTTCCTGTTTAGGGGACCTCTGGGGCAAGTGGGGAAACACATAGATCCAAGACAGTCTTCGTCGGTCTGGGAGTCCTCCCACTGCATCGAGTCCGTGTCGATGTTATCAACCACAGAGGCCGGGGTGGAAAGGTTAGGGGTTTGGGCATCCAGGGCTAGGAAGGCTGAGGGAGTCGTGGTTTACATAGGGGAGGAAAATTTGCCGGCCATTTTCGAACAGGTGAAAGGGATTTGAAGGGAATGAGACAGGGGGTGTCTTCGTGCGATGGTTTGGAGGAAAAGGTTTTTTCTGTTTTGTCACCTCAGACAAAACAAGACGAGATAGGGCAGGTGGGGATTCCCAGATGTACTGGTTTCGTTTATCCGAAGCCCCTTCGGAGGCAACCCCAGCCGAGATAAGCGACGATGACCCGCTCGGGGCAGCGGGGGCCGAACCATCGCTTCCATCAGACGCCGGTGGTAAAGGTGCGGTCCCCGCCAGCAGCCCCCGCGGGTGCTGAGGGAGAGGCCCCACTGTTCGCCCCAACAGACGCCGGAGAAGAAGCGGGAGCCCCACCCACGGCACACGCAGAGGCCACCACCTCCGCGGATGGGGCATCGGACCCGGCCGAGGCATTAGGCCCCGACTGAGCCGCAGAGCCCCGGGGCGCAGAAGCAGCGTGGCCACCGTCGGGAGTCGATGACGAGGAAGGTTTTGAACATTTGAGCAGGTGCTTGGGGTCTGCTTTGCCGTAGACAAAAACAGGAGGAGGGTTCAGAGGGTTACCTGCCGGTCGTACGGGATTCAGGGCTGGGGTCTTGTTTTTTTGGCAGGCCCGGCTGATGTGGCCGAACTCCCCGCGGTTGAAACACCGCACGGACTCGGTAGATAGAAACACACGATAATTCACACCGTTATGTGAAAAGTTGATGTCGTCAGGGGATGTGATGTTATCGTTAATACGTACCTGGACTTGTCGTCGAAAAGACATAATGTGGGATAGTTCTTTAGTTTTGAAGCCCAGGGGAATGGGGCGGATCTGAGAAACGACTTTGCAGAAGGAGGAGAGATTATGAACAAGAACGGAATTGGGTATTTCAGGATATACATTTGATAGAGTTATACGAGTGGTAGGACGAACGAGTGGAGTCAGTTCGAGGAAAGTGCCGTCATGGTCCAGTCCATTTTGAACAGCATCTGTGACGGCTTCCCGCGAGTTACAGCTCTCCCCAAGAATATGTTTTGTTGCCTACAAGGAAGGTAAAACCATACAGCAGTGACTTATAACGGGTCAACAATCGCATTTAGCGAACTTACACGTGTAAGCTTCGCCTTTCTGTCGTCTAAAAAATGCTAATTGATTATCCACATAGCTGAGTTCCCAAACTGTCTGAAAAATAATGTTACAGCGAATCTTCTGAAAATGTTCCCCTAGCTTTCAGTATATTCCAGAAAAGTTGCTCAAATCTACAAAATGGACGAAAGACAACGAATTCACGATTTAAAACAGTGCAATCGTTGTCTTCCGCCCATGTAGAACGTTTTCAGAAGACCGTTTACAGCGGTTGGGTTTTTCCAATGGGACTTTCCAAAGCACTATTCGTGGTAGGGTAGTTACACTTTAACTTATTTATCTTGTTCAATCAGATGATCTTTAGATAAAAGTATGAATGCTGTTAATCATTGAAATGAAAATCTAGGAGTACTTGTCTTATTTATATGTTGTTTTTTCGTGGCACTCACGCCCTTCATCTCTAGACTTTGAATATAGAATATTTTAACCCTTGAACTTGTGGGATAACAGTAACGTAGAGAGATTTTTGGGGTAACAGCATTTTTGGTAAAAGGGTGATAATCTTTACAGATATTTAAAGATATTCACCTTCAAAAAATCAAATTGAATTCAATGTGAGTCTTAATTTAAACCTACTAGAGAGAGCGAATAAACATTTCTTTCTGAAAACAAAAAGACACAACAGGGTTTGCTTGCAAAGCAATTTGCCTTGGCCACACAACTACGTTGGGGTTAACTTGAGCTAGGTTGCACTGGCTCGGCTGAGAGGAGATGGGCTGAGCTGAACTTAGCTAGGCTGAGATAAGCTGAGCTGACCTGGGCTGAGGTGAGTTTAGCTATAATAGGCTGAGTTGAGCCGAGCTGAGCTGACCTAAGCTCATAGAGCTATATGGCTAAGCTGCACTGGGCTGAGATCAGCTGAGCTGGTGGGATGAGCTTGGCTGTGATGAGCTGGGTTGAGACGAGCTGAGCTAGGCTGGGCCGGGCTGAGTTGCGCTGAGGTGAGCTTAGTTGTTGGGCTGAGCTTGGCTGAGATGAGCTAGATTGAGAAGAGCTGAGCTAGGCTGGGCCGGGCTGGGTTGCGCTAAGGTGAGCTAAGTTGGTGGGCTCAGCTTGGCTGAGATGAGCTGGGCTGGGATACGCTGAGCTGGGTTTTGCTGGACGGTTGGGGCTTCGCTGCTTTAGGCAAGGGTTTTGGGTGGTTCAGCTTGAATTGACAGTACCTTTGTTTAGTTTTCCCCATAGTATGCCTGGAGTTGTATGTCTTGCAATATCGGGTCGGGACTCCTTGGAACCAATACAAAAATGTTCAGTCCTTGAGGGGTCAAACAGGCATTTCTGTGAAGAGCGAGTCCATGTTTCCCACTGACGTACCCAATACTGGCGATTCACAACATTGCGCCTCCAAGGGTTTGCAACACGTTGGCCAATCACAAAATGGGACGAAATATGTCGACCCATTCCAAACGCGCATTGGGTCAACAGATTTTGCGTATTATGACTGGCCAGTGCCTTGGAAACTCTTGGGGGCACACTATTGTGAAACGCCTGTATTTTAGGGAGGAAATAACACTACTAAATCACAGCCAAAGACGTGTAAAGTCGTCGGTAGCTACGAAAGTAGTAGTCAATGCCTTTAGTTCCTGCTCTCGTTGTCATTCAAAATGTACCGTAGTCTATCCAATAAGCACTAAACAAAATAATGGTATAATGACGGTGTCCGAAGTTCTTGGTTGCAGCTACACGCAAGAGTCCATGGTAATGGCTTGGGTGATAATTCTAAGCCCCAGCCATGTAATTACGACACAGCCTTTGTTATGCATCCATTAATTTAAGTAGGTGTTCTCTTCGCTATGTCTTACGGTGCAAGGCAAGGCTGAGATGAATCTGTGCATTATTTTCAGAGGATGTTGCTCCTCAACACGCAGAAACCAGTCATCGTTGTTGGAAATATTCTGCCAATGGCCATTTTCAGACTGCACTTGGTGGGTATCCTTTGGAATTATACGAAAAAATTTGAAG